AACTGCCATGTGATTGGTTGATTAGATAATTGCATTAATGAGAAATTGAACAGGTGTTCCTAATAATCCTTTAGGTGAGTGTATATTATGAATGTATTTGAAAGGTTAATCCTTCAGAATCTCAGAGCACTTGTAAAGCACTTTCTCTTCTTTGACTTTTTCGGTGTAATACATTTAGATTGAGTACTCCATGATTACAGGTCAGCTCAGGCTATAGTTTTTCTGCATCAATAACTGCATATCTGACTTGAAATAAAGCTTCATTTGGCCATATCTCTTTTGAGACACACACAGTCGAGGAAAAAAAATCTTGGTGTCAGCCATTTATCTGAGAAGGGTTGGGCTGCAGAAGGGGCCTGAGAGCGCATGTCCTCTGTCAGGCCCCATCCACTCTCAAGCCCCTACGTCATTTCCGTTAAAACGACAGATTATCCGAAAATTCCGAGGTGTGTGACATCACGTCCGACAATCTCCCGTTCGAACATGGCTGCCTCCATGAACACGCTGTTGTGTGTTGTTGCTTTATATTTCAGCAGATTTGGAGTGAGATTATTTTTTCCGAGAGACAAACAAACAATCCGTCCTGTGGACAAATCCGTCTTCCCAAACCCCAATACGTAATTTATGTTTAAACGATAGAATCCGTCTCAAACCTGAACAATATAGCTGTCCATATGTGTGTAAATGAATATAGTGCTACTGTATGTGTTAGTATTGTGAGACATCAGACTATAGCTAATATGTACTCTTAATCATTATTTTCTTGTGCCATATTTATGCCGTAAAATATTGTACTTTAATAATGTCAGCATTTAAATGTTTGTACAGAAACTTTTAAGTGATAATCTAATAAACATATTTTGAAAAAATTATGCGCTATTGGTTATTAACAAAACATATTTGTTTTACCCAAGATATGTGCGAAGTAATAACATCATTTTAATAACGTTGTCTAGAGTCCAGTGTACCAACATAGATTTAGAGTCTAGTCTGCCTAAATGGCTAATTAGACCTTTCTTACCGTGTATTAAACTATATATAGGATATATTAATACATACCTCAAAATTATGGAAACATATGACGAAGTCAGTAATTTTTTAATTAAAAAAATTTACAAAAATAAATCTATTTTTAATTACATTGTGAAGACAATAATATAATGTGAAGTTGCAATAGTTGTATAATTGCCTAATTTAAATAAACGTTTGTCAGTAAAAAGTTGTGCTTTGGTACTGGCCATAATACAAGCCGATGAGAATTAATTTAAATTTCTACAAGAAAAATTACTATTCTAGTTATATACAAACTATGTTGTTTTTAATAAAAATGTATTTTTTTTCCTCACAAAACAGCAAAAGGAAACCCAACAGGATGTCAACAGAATACAGTATAAAACAATACTTAAATATATTAACTACTTTATAAAATGACAACAAATACTATATACAGACAACAGATATCTTTTAAAATATACAACAATTTACAGTACTGCAATACAGATTAAGGATTTTTCACTAAAAACAGATGGATATACAGTGGTTCCTCAGTTCTCGAACTCATTAGAACTAGAATTTCTTAAAAGTCGAACCAATCAGTTCGAAAAAATTACCTAGAGCTCGATCTGAATCTCAGAGCGAAGGGAGCCGTGAATGTGAATAAACACGGTTTATTCAGGGTAAAAGGGAAATCACACGGAACAAGGTACGTAGAAACAACAATGACAGATCTGGGGAACTAACTAGAACCAGAGCATGTGAGCGGGCGGCATTTGGTCAGAGCGCGAAGCGGTTTTTTAAATTAAGGCTGGAGCGGTCGCTCAGTCCCGCTCCAATTTCGACTCTGAGGCGTGCCCTAATCTACTCAGAATTCATCTGTACAATTACCAAGACTGTTACACAAATAGTCAGAGATGGAATACGCGAAGTATTTCACAAAGGAGACTGATAGGTCATACAAATGTAATATTCTTGTCAAACGTACAAATGACAATAATGTAGAGAAAGAAGAACAATGTGGTGAAACTGTTTTAGTAAGTAAAGATTCACTTTGGAATCTAAAAAGACACTTTTCTCGCAAACATGACAGTGTGCTACGCGAACATGCGGAGGCCAGAGGAAAACGTGAGCATGTTTTACATGGTTGTAGCATATCAAGTCTATAAAGTAAATAGAAGTATAAAAGCCTATAAAGTAAATATTGGTAATCAAATAAATTCGTTTTGTCATTCGAAGTAGGTCTAATGGGATTTTTTTAATTTACGTAACGCTGTTAGTGAAATTTTATTTTATAGAGAGAGAGACGCAACAGCAACAGAAGAAAATTGAGGAATTTAAAAGTTTCTTCACTGTCGTCAGAGGTCCAACCATTTCTGGGGCGAGAAAGAGGGAACTGGATACAGGTGTCTTTAAAATGATCTACATGGACTATGAAACGCTGAGTGCAGGAGAACGAGAAGGCATGCGCCATTTTGCCAGCACAGCCCAGCCAGGCTACACACCTCCTTGCTATAACACTGTGCGGGACACGCTCATGCCTCGTGCTCAGGAAGAGATGGAAGCCAAGCTGCGAGACCTGTTGCAAAAAGGGGATGGGTTTGTTCTGTCAGCGGATATTTGGACCAGTAGAAGAGGGCACAGCTTCCTTGGCATTGTGGCCAGTTTTATTGATGGGACGTTCCGGGGACACACGGTTTTGTTGGGCTGTGAGCACATACAGGGGCATCACACCGCAGATCGCATTTACCAAAAGTATGAAAGTGTTCTGAAATACTGAAATGTGGATCGGCGTGTGATAAGGGTCATTACTGACAGTGCCAGCAACATGGTCAAGGCATTTAACCTCTTCCATGTCACTGAAGAGGAGGCTGAGCTCAGTGAGGAGATCGCGGGTGCAAGCAGCAGCAGCGCTGAACATGAAGAGGAGGAGGAGCCATCTGCACTCTCGCAGATCGAGGTGGAAGAGGTACCGGCTAAAGTTGAAACAATGATCAGCCAGTACTTTACTGTGTCCAATATACATCTGAGGTGTCCCATTCACATGCTTCAGCTGGCGATCAAAGACGCTGTTAACGAGCACGACAGCATTAATAGGCTGTTTGTGAGAGTCAGACACCTGGTGAGAAGTGTGCACAAGAGCACCTTGAACACTGAGGAAACGGACCGATTAGGTGTCCGCCCCACAAAGGCTTGCATCGCTAGATGGAGCAGCCAGCCATGACTGATTCGGTCCTCCGACTGTTGCAAAAAGACCCATTATGGCAAAGCAAACTTAAGACTAATGCTCCTCACATCACCCTTAATAAAGTAAGGCAGCTGACGCATCCTGTCCACGTGCTTACACCACTGGCAGACAGAAAAATTGACTAATTGCACAGAAAAATTACAAAGGGAGTTAGGGAACCTGGGAATAATTCTCCCTGCTGTCACCGAAATCAAAACCCTGCTCACTAATGAGGCTGCACTGCCTATGACCATTGCTGCCTTTGCTGAAACATTGGCCAACAACATGTCAACTCACTACGAAAGATATTACACTGATAAGCATCTACTGTATATGCTTAGCCCACTGATTTTTTAATTTATTTATTGATTTCCTTTATTTATATAATAACTATATAACTATATAATTTATATAATAATTATATAACAACTAAAATGCATTACAATTAAACTGTTTATTGTCAAACATTATCAACACAGTTATCACAAATCAGTATAAAACATTTCAAACTAAAACATACAAACACTGGCTCCTCTCCATCAGCACCATGGACGACCAGGATCTTGAGGACGTGTTGAGTGGCATGTCCTCCTGATCATTTAACAAAGATCAGCTTACATTAAATTGAGTGAAGTCTATTTACAGTGAACCAACATAAGAACATAAGAACTATACAATGGAGAGGAGGCCATTCGGCCCATCGAGCTCGCTTGGGGAGAACTTAACTAATAGCTCAGAGTTGTTAAAATAACCAGCATTAGTAAAACATTTGTTGCAAGATGTCTGCACTCCACAGTATCCTCTGAGTGACAGTTGCTTTAATATTTCTCTCAGCCTCTGCTGTGAGCAGTCAAAGCCTCCATACTTTACAGTGGCAGAAAACCCTATGACCTTGTAACCCCAGAGCAGGTTTATTTTTTGTCATTATGCTTGTGAATCATTGACAAATCTCTCTTTAGTTTGTTCTTTAAGATGATATATTTTGTTGCCTTTTCCATTGTCTTATTTGGTTGAGCAGAATACTTCCATCCCATCATCTTCTTTCCTTTCTTATTTAAGAAGCAACTTGCTTTATTTGTAATACATTAAGTTTTGAAATTGTATCATAAAACAATTAAATTATGATTTATCAGGCAATCTTCAAGAAGTTCCTCCTTTCTCCCCAAGGTACACGATGAGGCTACGGATAACTTTGGTTCTATGAACAAATTATGATGTCAACACTAAACAACTATGTACATACAATGAACAGTCAATTGAGAGCAGACATGCGCAAAGAGCAGTGATTTCTGCACATGAAAAGCTTAAGTTACAGAGTGCAAGGGCTTGTGCTATGCATGTAGACATACCGCATATAAAGCATGAATCTTTCTCTATAGCTTCTCTGCCCCTGCACACGTCATCTTTTCAAACATGGCTCTTGCTCCATATGTGTTTGAGAGACACACAACAGCTCCTTCTCTGTTCATAAAAATATAAACAGCCAAATTCTGAACAAACTCACCTGGCTCAGTTTGTCCAGGAACGGCCTCAGCTTGGTCCCCATGACACCTCCCTTGGCCTTCATCAGGGCAGTAAATTTTGGTGTGTAGTAGTTAGGGTTGCAAAATTCTAGGAATATTCTTGTTAATTCCCATACTTTCCCGTTAATTCCCATGGAAAGTTTCTAATGAGGAATATTTCCAAAATTCCCCAGCTTAACTTCCCATGGAACGGAAAGTTTCAGGAAAATTTCCAGAAATTTTCCAGCCCTTTGCAACCCTAGTAGTAGTCAAGTTTAAACATGAACCTCTGCTCCAGGGAAATTGTTGTTATTCTTCTAAATTCCTCCTTGACCTGAATTGACAAAAGATTCAAAAGTACAAAATTAAGAACCAGGTCACATACACACTCATCACTTTCTCTCTCACACACACTCGCAGTCTCTCTCTCACGCACAACATTAGGAACCAGGCCAAATAGTCTGATGCGAAGTAAAGGAAGGGTCAATTCTACATAAAGGTGCATGTACCTGTACAATGCTCAGCTTAAAAAAAGAGTAATTTGGTCTACAGTTGTAACTGGGAAAGAAGTACATTTCCAGTATACATTATATAACAGTAGTTCATAATATATCATTCTAAAATCTAATTATTGTTACTGGCCTACACAACTCGTTAAGAAGCTCTAGACAAATGGGTGCGAAGTGCACCCCAACTTTTAAATGAACAAGGACAGTCTGTGTACAAACAGGGTAGTGACCGCCCCTTGACCAGCATGTAAATGTTTCAATCTATAATGCCTTAATAGCTCTAAACCATATGTGTCAAACTCAAGATGCCCACATCCGGGCCGGATGTATAATTACATCCGGCCCGGCGTGTAATTATATCCGGCCCGCGAAATCATTTTATATATTATTGTTATTAATGGCCTGGAGATATGAAGCGCTGGTAACACAATAAACTACAGATCCCATAATGCAGCGCTTCAGCTGTCTTGCCAAACACTTCCCGCTAGGGCTGTGCAATATGGCATAAAATTCATATTGTGGTATAATTTGAACCATAGACGGTAGACGGTATGTATTGCGGCATATGATTTGATCTGTAAATTTCAATACACTATAACTGTTTTTGAAAGGGTAACATATGTCCATAGCAAAGGCATTGCAGCAGGAAGTGGTATAGTAAACTGTTAAAACATTTCAAAGTAGTCATGAATGAAAAAATATGAAAACATTTAAAGTAACTTCACTGGTTTTATCTTATATTAAAAACACAGGTTGGTTTTGTAAACTGTATAGGTAAGCAGAAAACAAGACACAGAACTAGACTATATATAGTGTCATAACTCCATCTATATTAGTATGACCATCT